TGTTGTTGTTGTTGAATTCGCATATCTAAGTAACAATTGTTGTTGATCCCCCATCCCCGGCAACCATTGCAAGTAGTTCTCTCGGGGTTCGCACATTGTTTTGACCAGGGGAAGCCACCAAACTCAGCCCTTGGCCCCCAGTTTACAACAACAGCGGCTCCCGCTTGCTACTTCCTCACAGTTTATTCCCACATCTCGCTCTCGGGCGGGACGTCCTCACAAGTTGCACAGGAATCACGCTCTCGCGTAGGACTTCCTTTCAATTTATTCAGACGCCGCGCCCGCGACACTCAGGAATCACGCGTTCGCTTTGGCATATCTCACGATCTACTTGGGAATCGCGCTATCGTTCGAGACTTCCTCACGATTCATGCAGGACGCACGCTTCAGCAACCTGCCTGCTCGACCTGGACGCCTAGGCCCGCCTTCCCGACCCGCTTGTTAGGGTCTACCTGCCCGATCTGCCCGTCTGGTTCTGCCGCGTGTTTTCTGTTCCTAGCCCCCCTCCTGCTACTCTCTCTTTTGTCCTCCATCCTCCCCCCTCCCCCTGATCCCTTCCTTCTATCCGTCCTCTCTTCCCCTGCCGAAGGGGGCTGCATGAAGTACACGTGGCAGGCAAGGAAGATATACCCCCAAGGGGGTACGATCGAAGACGAAAAGGGCGGGTATCGAGAGTTCGGGACATACGTGTTGAATGGCACGCGGGTAGATCAGAGCGAGCAGTCTTGAACACATTGTTGTTATTGTTGATGAAATATTGTTGATCCCCTGCCCGGTAACCATTGCGTTGTTCAATTGAAGTGTTCCTCCGGGGGCTCGCACCGTGTTTCTTACAAGGTACAGTTGGGTGTCACCAAGCTGTGCTCCTGGCCCCCGGGTTAACAACAACGGCTCCCGCCTGATACTTTTATCACAATGTATTCCCAAATCGCGCTCTCGCGCGTGGCCTCCTCACAATTTAAACAGGAATCGCGGTCTCGCGTGGGATTTCGTACAATTTATTCAAACACCGCGCCTTCGACACTCACGAACCACGCTTTTGCTCGAGCTTTTCTCGCGATTTACTTGGGAATCGCGCTATCGCTTGAGACGTCCTCGCGATTCATGCAGGACTCACCCTTCAGAAACCTGCCTGCTCGACCTGGCCGCCTAGGCCCGCCTTCCCGACCCGCCTGTTAGGTTCTACCCGCCCGATCTGCCCGTCTGGTTCTGCCACGTGCGTTCTGCTCCTGTCCCCCTTCCTGCTATTCGCTCTCGTGCTCCATCCTACTCCCTCCCCCTTCCATCCGTGTTCTCCTCCCCTGTCTTAGGGGCTGCACTAAATGCACGTGGCAGGTAAGGAAGATATGCCCCCCAAGGGAGGCATGACCAACAGGGCGGGTACCAAGGGATTGCGATACATGTGTTGAATGGCACGCGAGTGGAAAAGATCGAGCAGTCTTAAACTGATTGTTGTTGTGGGTGGTGGTGTTGCTGCTGCTGTTGCTGTTGCTTTTGTTGCTCCTGTTGTTATTGTGGTTGTTGTTGGTGCTGCTGCTGTTGTTGTTGTTGTTGGTGTTGGTGTTGTTGTTGTTGTTGTTGTTGTGGTGGTTGTTGTCGTTGTTGTGTTTGTTGTTGTTGTTTGTTGTTGTTGTTGTGGTTGGTTGCTTGGTTGGTTGGTTGGTTGGTTGGTGGGTGGGTTGGTTGGTTCGTTGTTGTTGTTGTCGTTGCTGCTGCTGTTGTTGTTGATTGTTGTTGATTGGTGCGTGTTGTTTGTGGCTTGTTGTGTGTTGCTTGTTGCTGGTTGCTGGTTGTTGTTGGTGTTCTTGTTGTTCTGGTTGAATTCTCGTTTCGAAAGAATAATTATTGTTGATCCCCCCTCTGGTAACCGTTGTATGTTTTAGGTGAAGTGATTTTCCCGGTGCTCGCACCCGGTCTTGTACAAGAGAAAGCGAGGGGTCACCAAACTGGGCCCTTGGCCCCCGGCTTACAACAACAGCAACGGCTCCCACCTGATGCTTCCTCACAAGTTATTCCCAAATCGCGCTCTGGCGCGGGATGTCCTTACAAATCATACAGGAATCGCGCTCTCCCGCGGGACACCCTCGCCATTTATTCAGACGCCGCGCCTTCGACACTCAGGAATCACGCTCTCGCTGTGGATTCCTGAGGATGTACTTGGGGATCGCGCTATCGCTTCAGCAACCCGCCTGCTCGACCTTGCCGCCTGGGCCCGCCTTCCCGACCCGCCTGTTAGGGTCTACCCGCGCGATCAGCCCGTCTGGTTCTGCCACGTGCGTTCTGCTCCTATCCCCCTTCCTGCTATTCGCTCTCGTGCTCCTTCCTCCTCCTTCCCCCTTGTCCCGTCCTCTACTCCCCTGCCATAGGGGGCTGCATGAAATACACGTGGCAGGTAAGAAAGATATATGGTCGAGGGTTTTGGCCTCCCCCAAATGCTAATGCCATCGCCCCCCCCCCCCCCCCCGCGCGATGCCCCCCCCCTGTGGGCGTGGGCGTGGCGTGGTGGCTCCCCCCCCCCCGTGGATGTGGTGTGGGTGTGGTGTTGTGGTGTGTTGCTGTGGGTGTGTGCGGGGTGACGCCATGGTCCTCCTCCCCCCCTCCCTCCCCACCTGTGGGTGCGGTGTGGGTGCGGCGTTTGGCTGGGATTGGCGTCATGTTGACAGCTCTGGTGCTCGACGTCGTCGCCGCCGCCGCTGGTGGTGCCGTCGACGTCGTCGTCGTTGTCGTCGTCGTCGTCGTCGTCGTCGTCGTCGTCGTCGTCGTCGTCGTCGTCGTCGTCGTCGTCGTCGTCGTCGTCGTCGTCGTCGTCGTCGTCGTCGTCGTCGTCGTCGTCGTCGTCGTCGTCGTCGTCGTCGTCGTCGTCGTCGTCGTCGTCGTCATCGCCGTCGTCGTCGTCGTCCTCCTCCTTCTCCTCCTCCTCCTCCTCCTCCTCCTCCTCCTCCTCCTCCTTCCCCCCCCCATCCCATCCGAGGGGAGGGGCCCGAGGACCCTGGGACCCATCCCATCTGGGAGGGGGGGGCGTGGGCCCTGAGCCCGCGATCATATATACTCCCATGGGGGGTACGATCGAAGACGAGGAGGGCGGGTATCGAGGCTGTGGGATATACGTGTTGAGTGGCCCGCGAGCACATAATAGCGATCAGTTTTGAAATGGTTGTTGTTGATGATGTAGTTGTCGTTGCTGTTGCTATTGTTTTTGTTGTCGTTGTGGTTGTTCTCGTTGTCGCTGTCGTTGTCGTTGTTGTTGTTGCTGCTGCTGCTGCTGTTTACTTGGGGGCTTCCAGATGCCTCCAGGGACCTCCAGAGACTTCCAGCCGCCTCAGGCCACCCTCGGCGATGCCTGGAAGGACAGCCACCCTCGGGTCGGGGGGCGCACGACACCGATCGCATGCCTTCTCCCACGTCCCTCGAGCGGGCCTCTGGGTGGGGTGTGCGGGGGCGCGTCGGCCACCACTCCGAGACGACGGCCTGTGCGGCTGGCGCACAGGGCCTCCTGGGGTGCCTTGCGAGGGCGCGGGGGAGGTTCCTGGGAGGAGGAGGAGGAGGAGGAGGAGGAGGAGGAGGAGGAGGAGGAGGAGGAGGAGGAGGAGGAGGAGGAGGAGGAGGACGACGCGCGCCGTTCCTGCGTCCTGACCGTCCTTGACCGGGCCTCGGTCGACCCCGCACCGCGGGCGGGCTCGCTCTTTGGCCGCGCCGCGCGCGTGCGCCTTGCGAAGAAGGTGCGCGGCCCTGCCCGCCTCGTTGTCGTTGTCGTCTTCGTCGTCCTCCTCCTCCTTCTTCTCCTCCTCCTTCTCCTCCTCCTCATCCTCGGCCCTCTGGCCTCGCAGCCTTGTGGTGGCATCACAGCCGCCCCGGCGGATCGCGCCCGCCAGATGTGAGGGCGAGACGCAGAGGAGGAGGAGGAGGAGGAGGAGGAGGAGGAGGAGGAGGAGGAGGAGGAGGAGGCGAAGATTTGCCGAGTATTGAACAGCGAGCCCATCCCAGATGAGCTGCTATCAGAGCGAGCAACGACGGGATAGGATAGTCTTCGGGGGCTGTTTCATGTCCCCGGTCAAACACTCAGTGACCCAGATAGCTAGTCTGTTCGTGGATGTTCGCGCGCCTGCCGAAGCAGCACGCCCAGCATAGCATAGATCAATATGCTTCACAGCACGCTCGATCTCGACCGAGCACTTGCAGTCACAGTAGATGACAGAATTCCAACATCATGAATTTGTTCCGCTTTATTTTCCCCCACACCCTGAATCCATCACGGGACGGGTCTGCGCTGGACTTGCCTGTGCTGGACTGGATTGGCATTTGAATGGACTGGAGTGGAGCTGTCCGCAATCAATCGGCTGGGCTGGGCCGGGCTGGACTGCAGCAACATCGTTGGTCGGAGGAGGGGGGCGAGGCTGCCGGGGAGGAGAAGGAGGGGGTGCCCCCCCTCAGCCTCCGCCCCTTTCCCAGCATCGCTTTGCTGCTTTCGGACCCTCGTTGTTTCGTGGCCCCTTTCGGTCGTGTCCCTCCGCTCGTTTGTCTGTGGTTTCCTGGGGCCGTCCCTCGGGCCCTTCCGACGCGCGTCGGCTACATGCAGGAGTTATTGTTCTGACGATAACCCGAGGGTAAATTAACAAAGAAAGGCTGAGGAGGAGAACGAGGAGGACAGGGGAGGAGGAGTGGGGCGACGAGGACGGAGAGGAGAAAGACGAGGTGCCCCCCCTCCCCGCCTCCTCAGCCACCGCCCCGGCAGGCGGAGGAGGACAAGGACGAGGAGGAGGAGGAGGACGATGAGGAGGAGGAGGAGGACAAGGGCGAGGAGGAGGAGGAGGAGGAGGAGGAGGACAAGGACGAGGAGGAGGAGGAGGAGGAAGAGGAGGAAGAGGAGGAGGAGGAGGAGGATGAGGAGGAGGAGGAGGAGGAGGAGGAGGAGCAGGAGGACGAGGAGGAGCAGGAGGACGAGGAGGAGCAGCCCACGAGGAGCACGAGGAGGAGCAGCAGGAGCCGCCCATCCCCCGCAGGCGGAGGACTCGCCCCGCGGCCCGCACCCTCCGCTGCGGGCCCCGCCCTCCCCGCCCGGAGCCCTGGCGGCCGCGGCCGAGGCCGTGGCGGGCGTAGGGTGCGGGGTGGGAGTGCGGGGCTTGAGTGTCAATTGAAGCCGTGCGCGGCCCGCTTAGCGTCGACCGGAAAAGGCTCGCTCGCGACCCCGCGGATCGAAAGGGTGTGGGGTTTGAGTGTGGCTTGTGCAGTGTGGGGTGCGAGAGTGGGCGTAGGCTGTGGGCGTAGAGTGTGGGCGCGAGGGCGAGAGGCGAGTGTGGAGTGCGAGCGTCGGCGTGCGAGGCCGAGTCGGCGGCGGTCGGTCGGGCGTGGCCAGGACGAGGGACGAGCAGGGCCCTGAGTTATCCTCGAGGTCCGGCGCTCCGACACACCTTTGGAGCAAGCGGTTTGTGGCCGTTTTCGGCCTCTGGGGGCCCTCGCTGGGCTTCGGGGGCGTGAGCAAGCGACTCGGGACGAAACGCCAGCCCCAGAGAAGTGGTCCAGACCTCCGGGGCCCACGCATCGAAGAAGTTGGAGCCGCTGGACGTCTGGGATCCGGGCCGGGGATGGTCGGGGGCAGCTCCTGCTGATGCGTGCCTCGGAGGCCCCCAAGCGGAGCGGCCCCAGAGCGGAGCCATATCCCGGATGCCTCGGGCGTCCAGCTACTCCCAACTCCTCGGGGCTGGGGATTTTCAGGGGCAGCTCCTGCTGATTCGCGCCTCCAGGGCCCAAAGCGGAGGTGCCCCGGACCAGACTTATCTCGCACAGTTCAGCGAGGGCCACTCAAGACCAGTCCCGAGGCACACCCAGGGGTCTTCTCGCGAGACTCGGCAACGTCTTGCAGGCCTGAACGGGGTCGAGCCCTCCGTCTGCGCGCCAGTGAGGGGGACGGCTTCTGGAGGCCTCTGGGTCGTCACAGCTCCTTCGAGGGCGCTGGGGACCTACGGGGGCTTCAGAGATCGACAGGCCCAAACGCAAGACATCTTTATTTCCTTTTCTAAAGAAGGAAACAAAACTCAATCCCCTCACTTAGATCACTCGTCCGCGCCACGCCGCCAGACCTGCCGATGGGGCGGTGCGGGCTCGTCGCCTGAGATCTCCATGCCGCTCATGACAACTTGTGATGTTTGGGCTGGGTGTTTCCATCCAGCGGATACACGTGAATTGCGTTGTTCTGTTATTGGTGTGAAGATCCTGCCTTCGCGCGGCGCGCATTTGCCTAAACAACTCCCAACAGTTACGCGGATGAGGACAGTTTCGTGTTCAGAATGAGGCTCTTGTTTTGTCGCCCCATAAACCTTTTTGCCTTCAGAGCTTTCTGCATTTGCATTGGCAGAGCACGTCCCGGTTTTTCACATATGGCTCTCGCCTTAGCGCCACGCGAGCTGGTTCTAAAAGGTTCGCACGTTTAATCAACACGAATGTGGGGCATTATCCGTTCAAATAGGGGTTGTCGCTGGAGACGTCCCCATCTTTTCAGAACTCGATGGTTCTGCCCGCAGTGAAAAACTGTCTACAGGGGCCAATGTGCCATGAGGATGGGATTTGGAATGGTCTTGGAAGGTTCATTAAATCATCGTTGCTGTACCTTGTGCTTATTCTGATTTTGTGAGCTGCTGCAAGAGCTGTGCAGATGGAGGTGGTCCTTTTTCAATAGGGGGATCTCGCCCGACACCTCGTTCTACTGTACAGTAATGTTTGCCTCATCCTGCATGATCCGCCAAAAGTAACCAAGGCATTTTCTTTTCTAAACCGAGCTTTGTCTTGAACGGCAGGCTCATAGGGTGCGGATCTTTCAAGGGTCGCTTCATGTGGTGACAAAGAATAATCTAGACCTGCAGGGACTTATGATGAGGGGACTTGGGACGGGAGGGTACGTTGCAGCATCGTCGATCATCTTGAACTTTTCCGGTCCTCGTCCTCTCCTTCCTCCTCAGGGGTCGTCGTCGTCGTCGTCGTCGTCGTCGTCGTCGTCGTCGTCGTCGTCGTCGTCGTCGTCGTCGTCGTCGTCGTTTTGTCGTCCTCGACGCCGTCGTTCGTCTTCGTGGCCGTCGTCGTCGGTGGCCCTGCTCTCTCCGTGGGCCTCCCCAGGCGTGCCACGAGCCCGGTGTTTCCCCACGCGCGGTCTCGCGAAGCCCCGACCCCTTCGCCCCTCCTCCCCGTCTGTCGCCCGAGCCGCTGCCTGCTGGCCCCGAGGCCCGGCCAGAGCGGCCCACCGTCGTGCCTCTGCCGCGACGCGAGCATGCCCAGGCCGGGGCCCGTCGCGGGCGCGCGCCGCAGCCAAGCTCGGGGCCTACAGCGGAGGCCCATGCCAGGAAGCGCCCTGCTTGCCTCCAGGGTGCCGCGGCTCTCTCGGGTCTCCATGGCTCTGCTACGGGAAGCGTGACCTTCACACACACACACACCAGAATAGGGGGCCACTTGCGAACCCTACTACCCCCTACCCCCCACGAGTTCTGCGCACGAAGTGAACCACACCCTCCCCCTCAGAAATCGTGGGGGGCAGGGGTAGTAGGGTTCGCAAGTGGCCCCCTACAGAAGTCCAGGGACGTCCTGGGCCTGGGGTCTCAGGGTTGGGTTTCTGGTGGAAGGCTTCTCGTGGACTGGCCGCCGCTGTATAGCATCCTCCGCCTCAAGCGGGGGGGGCGGGGCCCCAGGCGCCGGCGTGGCCTCGCCGGCAGGCGGCAGCGGCGCCCGGCGGCCGGGAGGGCGGCTACGCCAACTGCGAGGCGCCCGTCTGTCTTGGTGGTCTCCAAACCAGGTGGTGAGACACCCGGTGGTGACCCCGATTCCCCCAAAAAGTAATTCTGTGTCACCACCGGGTTTGGGGACACGCGGTCGCCACGAGGTTTTGCGTTTCCTGGGCCAGCCAGCGCTCGAAAACCATTACCCAAATCGCCCAAAACTCACCACCGGGTGTTCTCACCACCACGTTTGGGGACCACCAACTGTCACGCAGGAGGGAAAGAAACACACAGACACAATGAATCGTCGATTTCCCAGAAAATATAGGAAAATATGGGAAGTGGGGGGGGAAGACAAAAACCCAGAAACTATCGGAAAACATGGGAATAGTTTTATTTGTGTCTATTTTTTTTTTTTTTTTTGTGTGTGTGTGTGTGTGTGTGTGTGTGTGTTTGTGTGTGTGTGTGTGTGTGTGTGTGTGTGTCTCAGGGCCCCTTCATTCAGTCTGGGCCTCCCAGACGGGGTCGGCCACGCGCAGAGGGGGGCAGGGGGAGGGGGGCAGGCTTCTCGGAAGCGCCCATGCTTCTTAGGAGGCGCGGACCTCCTCTGCAGATGCAAGGCCAGCGCCTGCTATAAAAGAAGCAGCCTGCCTCTGTGGGGAGCCTTCCCCCCTCCCCCTATACCCCCTTGTGCGCGCCGCCCATGGGGTCCGAGCAGGTGCGGTCGGACCCCATCCGGGAGGCCTCTTATCTTGGAGGGCCGGATCGCCGCGGCCTGGGGAGCCAGGGGGGAGGTCGATAGGGGCTGGGGTTCGGGGCTTTCGGGCGCGTTCGTCGGCTCTCGGCGGTTCTCCACCCTCGGGGTGCCTCCCAGCAGCTGCGCCTCGCCGAAGGCGCTTCGGGTGTGCCCGCGCATCGTCCCAGACGGCCGCCGGAGACCCGAGCTGTGGCCATTCGCTTGGCGTCGCTCGGACGTGTGCATTTTTTCTCGGCGAGGACCATCGAGGAACATCTTGGATCGTGGAGCGGAAAATGCACGCACGAAATCGAAAAGTGCACGGGGAATGGACGTCCGAGCGGTGGCGAGCTCGAGGATCTCTCGAGTCGGACGGCAGGGGGGGGCAGGGGAAGGGGGTTTGCAACACCTGCTGCATGCCGCCGGCCCCGGCCCCGCCGCGGGGCGGGGCGTTTTTCGGAGGTCGACAGGCCTCCTTCCCTGACACGTCGATTCGCGAATTGGCCGTTTTCGGTTCGCGAGAGGGCCTCGCTGCCGTCATTCTTGCGGGTCCAGGTCCGTCGGTTCCGGTCCTCCTAGGCCGCTTTCGCTGAGGGGTGGTTCACGAAAGGGAGGTTTGTCCACCGCCGAGTTGTCCTTGATCGGTTGACGCCAGGAGCCGCCGCACAGGTCGCCCGCGACTGGAACTTCTCGGCAACGGACTTCGGTCGCGCCAGATGGCGGCCGCGGCCAGAGGGGGTCGAGGTCCGGTAAAGGAGAGAGGGCGTGGCTCAAGCCGATTCCGGTCCCGAGCCGTTTCGGGTCTCCCTTCAGGGTGTCCTGCATGTGGCTACCGAGCTGCAGCTCCACTCTCAGGAACAATATGCCTTTTCCTCAGCGCACATGTGCGATTCTAAAGATTTAAGGAGTACGCGCACCGGCAGGGAAGGAAAGCATGCGAGCGGTACGGAAGGTACAAGGTGGCGTCGACGACCAGAAGGGCAGGTCTGTACGTTGCCACGTTTCAAGGTTTGAGAGAGCGCGCTTCACGGGTGCTTTCATTGGGAACATTCGGCGGCGCGTTTCGAACCGGGGGGTGGGCCCCACCCCCCAACACTCGGCGCCGTCGATAAAAACCAGGGGGGCTCCCCTCCCCCCCAAACCCCACCCCTCCCGAACCCCCCCTCCCTTCCAAGGGGGGGGGGTGTTCAAAACCCCCCCACCCACCCCCTCGTCGGCGCCGGCGCTGGCGCCTGCGCTGGCGGCCGACCAGAGGCAGCCCAAAGGGAGGGGGGGGGTTCAAACCCCTCCCCCCCGGCGCCGGCGCCGGCGCTGGCGGCGGCCAGCAGCGCCGCGCTGGCGCCGGCGACGGCGGGGACGCAGCGACGTACCACCATTACCACCACTACCACCACCACCGCCTCACCCACCCACCACCACCACCACCAACCCACCACACAACCACCACCACCACCCCACCACCACCACCAGCCACCACCACCACAACCACCACACCACCACCAATCTACCACACCACCACCACCACCGCCACAACCACCACCACTGCCAGCAGCACAACCCACCACCACCACCACAAACCACACACACCACCACCACCACCTCCACACCGCCACACCGCACCACCACCACCACCACCACCAGCCACCACCACAACCACCACCACAACCACCACTACCGCCACCACCACCACCGCCACAAACCACCACCACACACCACGAAAACACCACCCCCATACACACCACCACCACCCCACCACCACCCACCACCACCACCACCACCACCACCACCACCACCACCACCACCACCACCACCACACACCACCCACCACCACCACACCACAACACCACCGCACCACCACCACAACCACCGCCACCGCCACCACCACCACCCACCACCACCACCACCACCACCACCACCACCACCACCACCACCACCACCGTCGTCCTCGTCGACGCTCCCCGCCGCCGCCTCCCGCCGCCGCAGGCGCCAGCGCCGGCCCAGAAAAGGAAATCGTCGTCCCTGCCGCCGCCGCCAGCCGCCGCCGACGCAGGCGCCGGCGTACGAAACAATGCGTTCACCAGTACTTGTCCTTTGCAGAGTAATTACGTTCAACATTTGGCCGATGCGATGTACACGTGCACGAGAGTTCTGACTTGGTTGCCACGCGGTCGTCGAAGGGCAGGCCGGCCGAGTCTTACATGGACGTGCAACTTGGAAGCTTTTGGCCGTGTGATCGGTTTTCAGTGGCGTTCTTGGTTTTTCAGATGTTTTCCGACAGCGCGCCGCAGATTTTCACGATTGTTGTCGCCAGTCTTAATGGGCGCGCCGCGTGAGCGATACCTTCCTTGGCGCACGTGTGTAAAGCGCGCAGTAGACTGCCACCGTCTGCGCCTTTCGCGGGCTCGCCTCTGGGTGCGCGGGCTTGACTTTGACCCGCGACAAGGCGTGTTGGGGCCCGAGCGAGGGGCTCGAAAACGTCGTCGGCTCGCTCGCGTCAGAGATTCGCCACCGGAGGCCAAATTTCGGTCGCGATTGGCTCGTCCCGAGCGGTACTGGACATTTGGGTGATGTGGGCGGGATGCGCCGGGAAAGCCATGCAGCTAGGTAGGTGAGCTGATTCGCTTGCCCCCCCATGTTATCCCCCCCTTCAATCCGATTCAGTTCTGGGAGAGGAAGGGCGGATGGGAGCTCGGCTGCGGTTTCTGCCAGGCTTTGACGGGCGGGCCAGGGAGGTGGAATTGGGGTTGTCTAGGAAAAGGAGGATGGGAGAGGGAGGGGAGGGGAGGGAGACTGGGCTGGGTCATCAATGATCGATGTGTCTGGACGCTGTGTGCCCTTGTTTCGAGGCGGCCTCCGCAGAGCTCAGGAAACTTCCAGAGGACGGAGGACAGGGAGGTTGAGGAAAGGATGAGGGAGGGATGAAGAAAGAGCAGGTAGTGAGTGAGCGAGGCAGAACAAGAGAAGGAACTGGGGAAGGAGGGAGCAGGAGGATGAGATGGAGGAGGAGGAAGAGGGAGGAGGAGGGAGGGAGGGAAGGAGGGCACGAGAAAAAAACGGATGAGGGTGGAGAATGTGGGATAGCCTGTGTGGATTGATGTTTGACCGTTTCTTTGTTGATCGCGTCGGCGCAGGTGAGTTTGTCGCGGCGCTCTGGACAGATTGGGAGCCTGCTATCCATCCACCCGCACGCTGTTAATGCATCCGTCCGCACAAGCAGGGACCGGATGGTTAAAGATCCGGCCAAATTCTACCAGAACCACTGTCACCTATTCAAGAGAGAATGTGGAGGGGAAGGGGGAGGAGGAGTAGGACACATGGAGAAAGAGGAGGAGGCGGAGAAGGAGGTGGGGACAGGGAGGAGAAGACAAGGAGGAGGAGGAGGAGGAGGAGGACACCCATGCGCCATGCATCGGCACTGCAAGATGCACGGCGCGGGGGCTGAACCTGGGGCTGGGGCTGCGGGGCAGTTGCGAGAGGAGAGAGAGGTGTGGGAAGGAGGGGCAGGAGCAGGATGGTAAGGACACTGAGGCCAAGGATGATGATGATGATGATGATGATGATGATGATGATGATGATGATGATGATGATGATGATGATGATGATGATGACGATGCTGCTGATGATGATGATGATGATGCTGATAATGGTGATGATGATGCTGATGATTATGATTATGATTATGATGATGATTATGATTATGATGATGCAGATGATGATGCTGATGCTGCTGATTATGACGAGGATGAGGATGACGATGATGATACTGATGGTGATGGTGATGGTAATGGTGATGGTTATGTTGCTGATGCTGATGCTGATGATGATGATGATGATGATGGTGGTGGTGGTGGTGATGATACTGCTGCTGCTGCTGCTGCTGCTGATGATGATGATGATGATGATTGCAATGTGGATGATGATACTGATGCTGCTGATGATGATGCTTATGATGGTGATGATTAGGATGCTGATGAGGATTGCCATGGTGATGATGTTGATGACAGTGGCGGTGACGATACTGATGATAACGATGGTGATGGTGGTGCTGGTGATGATGACGATGCTGATGATTATGCTGATGCTGATGATGCTGCTGATGATGATGGTGATGCTGATAATGATGATGATGATGATGCTGATGATGATGATGATGATGATGATGCTGAAGATGCTGATGATGCTGATGATTACGATGATGATGATGATGATGCTGCTGCTGATGATGATGCTGATGCTGATGCTGATGATGGTGATGATGATGGTGATGAGGATGAGGATGAGGATGAGGATGAGGATGAGGATGAGGATGAGGATGATGATGCTGCTGATGATGATAATGATTATGGTGAGGATGATGCTGCTGATGTTGCCGATGACGATGATGATGCTGATGCTGGTGATGCTGATGCTGGTGATGCTGATGCTGATGCTGATGTTGATGCTGCTGATGACGACGATGATGCTGTTTCATGATGCCGATGCTGCTGCTGATGATGATGGTGTTCTGATGATGGTGGTGATGCTGATGCTGGTGAGATGGTAATGAGGAGGAGGAGGAGGAGGAGGAGGAGGAGGAGGAGGAGGAGGAGGAGGAGAAGGAAGAGGAGGAAGAGGAGGAACAGCAGGAGGATGATGAGGATGATGAACAGGAAGGGTGGAGCAGGAGGAGGAGGAGGAGGAAGAAGCGGAACATGCGGGGGGATGAGGGGGGTCCGTCCCTTACTCCTTGGTTCCTCACCCCCGCGCTTCTGCTCTCTTCCTCCTCCTCCTTCCCCCCACCTCCCCACTTTCCTCTTCCAGCCGTCCCTCTTCATCCTCCCCCCTCCTCCCTCCTCCCTGCTCAGCCCGGGCTCAGATCGCCTCCGCCGGAGGTCGCGAGCCCAAGCCAGGAGGCCCCCCGCCTCTGCCCTCCCCCTCTTCGCCCCCTTCCCCTTCCACTCAGCCCGCGCCATGTCCGTGCCTCCCTGGCGGGCGGCCCCGCGCCCACGGCGTGCGGCACCGGAGCGACGTGCCCAACGCCTGCGGGCCGAAGGCCGAGCCGTGCAGGTGCTCCTTCGCTGCTTCGACGAGCTCGGGCGGCATCGTGGAGGTTGTCCCTCCCGGCTGGGGGCGGCGCTGGCCACAGCCCTTCGTCCACCGCGGGCGGAGCCAGCCAGCGTCCGGAGTTCTGGTCAGCTTCAGGCGCTCCAACAAGTTTTTGCCCAGCCAACCGCAGGAGTTCCAGCCTCAGGAGTACCAGCAGCGGGAGTACCCGCAGGAGGGGTACCAGCAGCAGGTGTACAGCCAGACCGGTCCCCTGCCGCCGCTGGAGTATCTGCAGCTGGCGTACCAACAGGCGGAGTTCTTGCAGCAGAAGTGCAGCCAGTCCGATCCCCTGCAGCCGCAGGAGTTCCAGAAGCAGGAGTTCCAGCTGGAGGAGTTTCAGTCCGGTCCCCTGCCGCTGCAGGAGTACCAGCAGCGGGTGTACCAGCAGGCGGAGTTCTTGCAGCAGGGGTGCA